GCTTCTAAAATACTCCTCCTGCCCTGGCAGGTGCATCGGCCCCAGGACCAAAGGGTCTTGGGTTTGATTCCTAGTCAAGGGCACGTATCTGGGTTGCAGGTTCAATCCCTGGCCCCAGTTGGGGTCATGCAGAAGGCAACCAATTGATATGTCTCTCTTACATCGATGTTTATTTCTCTCCCTCCCTCCCTCCCTTCTACTCTATCTAAAAGTCAATGGAGCCTGTCATGGGTGGCTCAGTGGTTGAGTGTTGATGCATGCACCAAGAGGTCGCCGGTTCTATTCCTGGTCAGGGCATATGCCCAGATTGTGGGCCTGATCCCCAGTGGGGGGCATGCAGAAGGTGGTCAACTGATGTTCTCTCATCAATGTTTTTTTCTCTCTCTCTCTCCTTCTCCCTTCCTCTCTCTCTCAAATCAATAAAGAAAAAAAAATTTAAAATTTATTAAAAATTAGTGGAAAAATATCCTCAAGTGAAGATTAACTAAAAACAAACAAACAAAAACAAACAAACAAAAAAAAACTCTTCCCTTTTCCAACTACAAATTGATGTGAAGTCAGATATTCTTCCTATATTTCAAACAAGAAGATACTGGAACAGATTGGCCAGAAGCAAATCTTAGAAGTCAGGTGTTAAGATGATTTTGCAAAAACATAAAACTGTGCCACTCTTCTCTCTTAATATTTTTGGGAATATAGTTAATTTTCATTTTAGAAATTGTTATGATTAGGGAGGGGGTGTCAATGGGGGAAAAGGAGAAACATCTGTAACAAATAAATAAATAATAAATAATTTATTAATAAATTAATAAAATTATTTGTATTAAAAAAAATATCCGGGGGAACACTATGTAAAATGTATGATTGTAACCACTAAGGTCTACATCTGAAACCGATACAAAGTGAAACTGAAAGAAAATTAATAAAAATAAATACAAAAAAATATAAAATTTGTTATTATTGGAACATGTTATGGATTTATTTTTACATTTAAATCCATAAGTAGCCCTCGCCAGTTTGGCTCAGCAGTTAGAGCATTGGCCTGCGGTCCAGAGAGACCCGGGTTCGGTTCCTGCTAAGGGCATGTACCTCGGTTGCAGTTTGTTCCCGGCCCTGGTTGGTCGTGCGGGTGGCAGCCACTCGATGTGTCCCTTTCACATCGATGTTTCTCTCTCTCTCTCTCGTTCTCGCTCTTCCTCTCTCTCACCCACTATGTCTGAACAAAAAAATGGAAAAATGTCCTTGGGTGAGGATAAAAAAATAATAATAATAATAAATAAATCAATAAGTAAATAGTTAAAGAATTTCTCAGTTTAATTTCCAGGGCAATAAATATTGATAGATATAACCCTCATAAGCAAAAGCTCTTTGGAGTCCTTTCAAAATTGAAAAACAAATGTTTTTATTGATTTTAGAGAGAAAGGAAGGAAGAGGGAGAGAGAGAAACATCCATCAGCTGCCTCCTGCACGCCCCCTACTGGGGATCAAGCTTGCAACCCGGGCGTATGCCCTGATGGGGAATCGAACCAGGGTCTTCTCTGTGCACCGGCCGACTCCCAGCCAACTGAGCCACACCAGCCAGGGTGAGTCCTCCATAATTCTGAAGACTGTAAAGGTGTCCTAGACCAGAGGACTGGGTCCATGGGTGCCAGTCAACTGCTTTCTGCAGGACCCTGACCCTTGGTCCATGGGCTCCATGAGGGCAGAGGAGGAGAGCATGTATGAGTTGTCATCCAGCTCAAGGGCCACCAGCGTGGCCACTTCAGAGCCCACGGTGTGCAAGGGGAGCAGTCAGCCACCACGGGTGATGGGGCTTTGTCATTCGCATTCCCCTTGTGTATACCTGGGCTGGCTATCCTGTCCTGTGCTTCCTCCAGCATGTCATTCATTGACTTTATAACTGTCCACTGCCCAGGTAGCCCGCACAACCCTGCCTCTGCCCAACGTCCTCCTGCACAGTGACTCCCAAATCAACGCCCCGATCGATGAATGATGGCGTGGCCAGGTGAAGACTCAATCGTGGTGCAGCTTGTAGACACAGGGTGCAGACGATGCCTGTGTTGAGCCCGCCGCACAGTATCAGGGGCTGCTGGGTGAGTGGGTCTCACTCCTGCCCCCAGCAGCCCCTGATGAAACCGTTGCCGCCCGTTCCTGCGCCGCTGGGGACGCTGCTTTGTGGAATGTTAAGTCCCAGGAGGCAATGCTTTCTCCCAGACACACAGCAGCACTTTGCTTGAACTGGACGTGGCCAGCCACGTGGCTGTTCGGAGCGCCTCTGCCGCTGGCTGAGCAGGCAAAGGAGGGGTGTGACCAGCACTGGCCGGCATGCACCAGGAAGGGGCTGCTGGTACGTGACCGAGAGAGGCTGATGGGATGTGCAGAACAGGCTCTGGGAGGCCGCCGGACGCCCCGGCAACTGCCAAGTCCAGTGGCCAGAGTCAGTGGAAGAGGAAAGCACCCTATACCGACAGGCCCACCGGCTCGGACACCTCCCGAAAGTGTGTGTGGAGGGTTTCCAACCTGTGGTGGTTGCAGAAACAAGCACGGCCTCTCTTTTCTCCTTGCTGTCCTTCAAACACCAATCAACTTTTGGTTTCTTTCCTAGTGGCTAATTCCACTGTTCAACGTGTGAAATACAGAACTTTGAGATGGACTGTGCTGAGCGCAAAGGGGTGGGTGTGGAGCTGGACCTGGAGGTGATGTGGTGCAGACACAGACCAGGCTGGGGTGCTTCCTAACTTTGGTGTGAGAGCTTTTGTGTGGGGTGTGGAATGACCACCCTGCATCAGTGGATTTTCTAGAGGAGCGGGGAGGGCGAAGGAGGGTAAGTCAGAAAGATGGGGTCGTTGGCCAAGTTCTGTGGTTTCTGCGGCTGCCGAAGAAGTGGTGGGGGAAGAGGTGGTGGGTACCTACTGCTGGGCTGGCGATGTTGCCTCTGTCTGCTCCGTGGCGGGAAGCGCCTTCCCCACAGGACATCAATGCAAGACTGAATAAGAAAAACAATTGCTTCCTCCTAAGCCATGGCATATCAGTTATATAGAAATACCACTTTGGGAAAGTCTTCAGGAAAGCCTCGATGAGCTCATACAGTCTCAACAGATCACTCCCCAACTTGCCCTTCCAATTCTACTTCAATTTGACAAGGCTATAAATACAGCATTGGCTCAGAGGGTCAGGAACAGAGTCAATTTCAGGCCTATGTAAGTTTGGCTACCTTCCCTGAAGAATTACTGAGATTTCAAATGCCTGAAATATTATCTGCAGGTTTGAAGGGCTCTCTAAATACGCACAGATTCTGCAATAATGTGTGGACTTTTGTATTGAATGATGTTGAATTCAGAGAGTTGACAGAACTTATTAAAGTGGATAAAGTGAAAATTGTAGCCTGTGATGGTAAAAATACTGGCTCCGATACTACAGAATGAATAGAAAAATGGCTTTTTTATGCCATCCCCTGTTATTATTCATCACTTTTTAAAGAGAAGCATAGAAGAGACTTTATTCTAGCATTGCAGAAGCGACCACACCATGCTATACTATCAGAGAATCCAGTATAAGAAGCTTGTAACTACATTACCTTTATTCTAAAGCATGAAGAAACAGAACTTTTTATTAAAGACAAATCAAATGTTGCCTTCCTCTTAACATTCTTTTATAAACTCATTTTAAAACTATTTAAAAAAAATCAGAAAGATGGGCCCAGGCAGTGTGGCTCAGTGGTTGAGCATCTGATCCCGTTTGGGGCATGCAGGAGGCGGCCATACGATGTTCTCGCTCTTTATGTATGTTTCTTTATTATCATTATCATCATTATTTCTAATCTTCACCAGAGAATTCTATTTATCTTCAGAGAGTGGGAAGGAGAGAGAGGGAGAGAAAGGGAGAGAGAGAAACATCGATGTGAGAGGACACATCGACTGGTTGCCTCCGCATGACCCAGACCCGGGCCAGGGACAAACCGGTCCCGTGCCCTTGGCCAGAATCAAACCAGTGACTCATTGGTCCTCGGGCCAACACTCTACCGCTGAGCCAAACCGGCCGGGGCTCATTGATGTCTCTATCTCTCTCCCCCTCTTCCTTCCTCTCTCTCTAAAATCAATAAAGAAAAAAAATTTTAATTAAAAAAATCGGAAGATGGATTCATCGGGGTCCTGGGCACCCCAAGGGGTGTGCACACTTTCGATGCACAGGGTGATGCCCAACTGAGCCACACCGGCCAGGGCTCAGGGCACTTTGGAAGCCACCGGAAAGCTCAGGTCGCAGGTCCACTTGAGTCACGGAGCTCCATCCCTCTGGGTTGGTCAGGGGGTCAGTGACACGGTGAGGATCTGGGCACATCTGTGAGAGCTGCACTGGGTTCTGTGGGTGAGCACGAGGGGTAGATGCCGAGGAATAGCGACCTGATTGACAACCCAACTCAACATGGAAACCTGGATGGTGCCCTCTCCTGCCCTGACCCAGGGCCCTGGCTCCTCTTCCTCTCCCCGCTCACACCCGTCCTGCTCCTCCAGCGGCCTCTCAGGTCTTCCCTCTGCTCAGTACTTCCCTGACCTGCCCCTGTGGTGCCCGTCCACTGCCCCATCTCCTTCACTCCTGGCCCAAGCAACGTCCAGCGCTCGATCCTCCGGTTCTTCCTGAGATGAGGAGGCTGGAGCAGCAGAGAAGGGGCCGTGAGTTCTCTGGCCCCCAGAAGGTTCCAGGCCCTACATTCTGTGACTGGCCTCGAAGCCTTGATGTGTGGACCTGACAGGTCGGCCAGGCTATGCTGGACTGAGGCTCAGGACCCCAGGAGGTGCTAGGCCAGGTCCTTGTGTACATTTTATAGAGGGGAATGTTGAGGATGGGAGAGCAAAGACACCCAAGAAACCAGGTCAGCGACAGCCAGACAGCACCTAGGCTGTGTCCACCACCAGAGGCACTGACCTCAGGCCTCCCCAGTGGGAAGGAAACATCAGCGCATGTCAAGCACAAAGAAACCTTTATTGGCTTGTGAACCGGAATGATGGCATGGGCTGGCACGGAGAGGCCGTGTCAGGGCTGTCTCCTCTTGTGCCGCAGCTGGGGTCGGGCATCAGACTAGGGCCCCTACAGACTTGGACCCCGCCCCCCCAGTCCTGATTACAATGTCCTGGGAAGGGCTCTGAGTTCGTCACAACCCACCTCCTAGGCCATTGCCCAGGCCAGAGGGTGCTCTGGGGAGGGACATGGTTGGCACGGGGCACAAGTGGGCCCTCAGGGGAGGGCAGCAGTCCAACCTACACCTGCCCAGACAGTGGCTAAGGCACTGTGGCTGGTCCACGTCCTGCTCCAGAAGGCCAGCGATGTGGCGGGGACCCTGACCCTCTGGACATGTGGCGGACAGAATGTGGCTACTTTTTCCGCCGAGGGGTCTGGGAGCCGCTGTTGCAGTTGTTGGGGGCTGGAGCAGCCTGGTCAGCGGCAGCTCCCGGGTCTTTCTTGAGTGCTGGCTTGTGCTTCTCCTCCCTGGGGGGAGAGTAGGACCGGGAGGGGCGAGGCCCCAGCAGGGACTGCATGACCCTAATGGCCCCTACCGCGAGGATGAGTCCCCAGAGCAGGGTAGGGGCCTCCAGCGGAGACAGCTGTTCCCGTAGCCAGTGGAGGGCCTGGGTGAGGGTGTTGCTGGAGCTGCGGGCCCGGGGAGGGCTCTTGTTCTGCAAGGGCAGGATTGAGGGGGGTCAACAGGGGCCATCCTTCTGGGTGGGGGTCACCCCCTACCTCCCCCAGCCTGGCTAACGCCTTCCTACCTGGAGGTCAAACTGCTTGAGCAGCCTATCCAACACTGGGTCCCCCAGGGACACTGGTGGGAAAAACTCCTCTACCCATTGGCGTCGCCACCACTGACTGCAACAGGACAGGGTGCTCAGGAGGCATGGCGCCCCCAGCCCCCAACCCCCGGAGTGCCCAGCCTTGCCCCCAGCCCCCAGAGTGCCCAGCCTTACCCCTGCTCCCCAGGCTGTGAGAACCAGTACTTATAGCGCTGGGCCCGCACGTAGGTGGGTGGCTGCTTGTGGAAGGGATACCTGGCCACGTCGTTCTGGATGAGGCGGATCACTGTAGGGGAGGGGGCTCAGCTGGCTGCTCCCTCAGCTCCACCCATAAGCCTCCTCAGCAAACCGGACCCCCTGCCCCCCGCCTCACCCGGCTCCTTGCCCTGCAGCAGGCAGAGCACCAGGCTCGTGAACCATGGGCTGTGCGTGTGTGGGCCCAGAGCTGCGAACCACATCTGCCAATCAAGGCGCGGCTGGTGCGGTGCCACGAGGGGGGGCGGTCGGCTCACGTTCCCAGGCTTGTACATGAACTCGATCTCCTGTGTGCCAAGCCCGGTGGGTTGTGAGGGCAGCTGGACCCGGACTGCCCCCAACCCCATCCCTGTGGGTTCCCCACCCGTGAAGCACTCACTGTCCAGTGGTGCCCGTCGTAGCTGCCCTCCAGCACCACCTCAGGCCTCCCACCCAGACCGGTCATCCTCCGGAAGAGGCCATAGGAGTTGGCCAGGTGTAGGTGCTCCACGGCTCCAAACAGGTGGTGGGCCCCAGTCCAGAGGCGCCCATGGGTGGAGGGCTCCATGTAGGAGTACGGCACCTAGAGGCAGGTGGGCAGAGGTCAGCCCTGCTCCTCCAGCCCCCTCCCAACCCCCTCTTCTGGTCTCCGGTGAAGCGCTACCCACCAGGCTGACCAGGAACATGGCCACGGTGGCAGTGCCAAAGACAGACAGCTGAACTGCAGTATACAGCTTCCGGAGCCAGCCTCGCACCTGGGTCCACCTGGGGGTCAGGGCCACCTGCAGTCAGCCCTGCTCTGCAGAGCTCCGCAGCCCACCACCCACCCCTGCACACACCTCCAGAAGGCGGCCAGCACTTCCCAGGCGAGGGAGGCACCCCCTAGCCACATGGTGGGCAGAGTCACCATCTTCAGCCACTGGGAGAACTGGTGGAAGGTGAAGGCTGTGGAAGGAAGGGGTGTGAGAAGGGGTGGTCCAGTCCAGTCGCTGCTCTCTGGCACCCAGATGGCACTCACTGGTTCTGGAGTGGACAGCATACTGCTCCCAGTCGACCTCCAGGCCAAAGTAGTGCACGGTGCCGTAGGCCAGCAGCCCATAGACGGTCAGTTCTAGCAACAGGGCCAGTAGGGCCAGCAGGGCCTTGGGCCAGGCTGCAGGGCAAGACAGTCACGGTCAGCTGGCAACAGGGCTGGAGAGTAGGCAGCCAGGGGTTGGGGAGCTAGAGCAGAGGCCAGTGGGGGATCCTGGGGGAAGGCAGCGCCTGGCAGCAGCCCTGGTGAGGACAGCTGGCTGTTGGGACTGGTGACACTCACAGGCAGGTGTCTTTTTGCGGCGGCTGTTGCTAGACTCAGCAGCCAGGTGCTTGTCATCCAGAAGGGCAGTGGTGAGCACCAGGGTGAGCAGGTTGAAGAAGTTATAGTTACCAGTGATGATAATCAGGACTTGCAGCAAGACCTGGGGGACGGTCTGAGCTCAGAGCTCTGGACAGCGGCCCCCTGCCTGGGCCCTTCAGAGCCTGCACCCCATGCCTATGTCTCCTGCAAGCATCCTGCCTTCTCTCCTGTTCCCTTTACTCACACTGACCATGGCTCCCCAACGACACCTGGAGAAAACCCAAGCTCTGCACACCTCACGCCTCTGCTAACCTGAGCATGACATCCTCCATGGAGGCCTTGCCTCACAGACACACTTCAGTGGAGCTAACCAGGCCTTCAGCCCAGGAGACCTCCTGACTGCTGACAGCAGCTACCCTGTCCCTAACAGGACCCACCGAGTAGTGCTGCCTGGGTGGTGAAGGCCACGTCCCCCCCATTTCCTGATGGCTGATGCCCCACTCACCTGGGCGTAGAAGGCAGCCAGGCGTAGGCGGCGAACAGGGGCGAAGAACAGAGGGGGCACCGCGATCTCGATGAGGAAGGTGGCCACCACACTGAGCTTGTGCAGCCAGACGGGCAGGTGGTGGGCAAACCAGGAGGCAGGTGTGGGCAGGCACTGCGTCTCATAGTGGTAGGTGAGGGCTGCAGGTGATGGTGGGTGGTCAGGGCTGGGCGGAGCCCCCAAGACTGCCCCATGTGCAGGCTGGGACCCTCACCAGTGAGCCCCCACCACACGGGGCAACGGCTGGTCAGCTTGACCACACCCGAGGCGAACATGAGGCGAAACAGCAGCCAGCGCACGAGCCAGAAGGGGAGGCCTTCATGGGGTGAGGCCCCTGCCAGCCCGCCCTGGGGTTGCTGCTTATGGTGGGGGGGCTGCCTCAGGGGGGCCACCAGCACAGCCAGGAAGCCAGTCTCCAGCAGCAGGGAATCCCTATGGGGAGAAGGAAGAGCACAAAGGGCCCCCTCCCCATCAAGGCTGCTCCCTTCAGAGAGCCCTTCCTGGAGAGGCAAACATCCTCCGCCCCACCCCCCAGCCTCCTGAAGCCTTACCCCCCAAAGTCACTCACCACTGGAAATAAAGAAACACCTGGCCCACCTGCAGGGAGAAGGGCTGTCAGGGAGCAGGGGGTGTATGTGTGGGGAGGCAGGCAAGGCAGAGACAGGATGGGGTGGAGGGGGGCTGGGGCTGAAGTGAGTTGGTGACAAAGTTCCTAGTGGTGGCCAGGGGCAGCAGGCAGCCCCCACTTGCCTGGCAGACCGACAGGTAGGCGGCCCAGAGCAGCAGGTAGACGAGGGGGTGGCGCAGCTGGCGCAGCAACAGGGCGCCCAGGGACAGCAGGGTGCCCAGCAGGCTCAGCAGCTCCAGGCCCTGTGCTGTGTCCAGTCCCAGTCGTGGCGCCTCCCACAGCAGCGTCGGGGTCTCCCACAGCTGCTGCCAGGGCCCCTTGCCTTGGGGCCGCAGGGTCCTTCGTGCAGGGAGGATGCCCTCGGTGCCATATAAGCCTGTGGGAGGGGACGTCGGGGCCAGGTCCTGGACACTGTCCTGAGGGGCCACACTCCCCCCACGGTCAGGGCCTGCACCTCTGCCTCCCAACCTAGGTCGGCACGTGCAGGCTCTAACCCAACACGTCAGAAGCTGTGGCCCCCCCTGCCCCAGGCCAGGCCCCACAGGCCCACTCCCCAGGCCGAGCCCAGTGCCCCCCTCCAGGGGGCAGCCCTCTGTCCTACCTGCCCCGGGTCTGCGCCCACCTACCTCTGGGCTGTCCCCCGCCCCGGGTCAGAACCTGAACCCTACGGGAAACGGACCACTGCAAGCCCTCCTATCCCCAAACCCTGCAGCCCGCAGGGCACGAACCGCAGCCCCTGCCCCACACATCAAGGCCTGGACCTCACGTCCGCCCCCAGACAGCGGCGTGTCGGGTGGGGAGACGAGAGGGCGCGGGGCGCGGGTTGGGGGTGTCCCTCACCCGGGATCTGTGTGTAGAGGGAAGCGAAGGCGAACAAGAAGACGGCGGCCACACCCTGGAGGAAGAGCTGCCGCGGGAGCCGGGAACCCGCCATGTCCGCTACGCGGTCGGCTGGACCAGAGCCCGCGGGTCCGCCCGGCCCGCCCCCGGCCCCGCCCCCGGCCCCGCCCCACCGCGCCGGCGGCAACTGCGAGCCCCGCCCTCTCTGGCCCCGCCCCCAGGCAGCACGCGCCCCGCCCCCACGCCGCACCGCCTCCAGCGCGTCCTGCGGCCCTTCCGGCGCGCGTCGGCCGCGCAGCGCCCGAGTCCGCCTTGGCCGCGTACGTCATAGGTGTGCGCGCGGCACCGCGTGCTACGTACTTTCCTGGGCGGGAACAGCAAAATGGCGCCACAGCTAGTGGCGGGCTGAGGACACTGGCCCCCCTCGAAGCCGGCCCCGCGGTGCCCGGGCCGCCCCGGCCACTCCCGGACATGGAGGACGTGGAGGCGCGCTTCGCCCACCTCCTGCAGCCCATCCGCGACCTCACCAAGAACTGGGAGGTGGACGTGGCGGCCCAGCTGGGCGAATATCTGGAGGAGGTGAGGGCGGCCCGGGGCAGTGGCGCTGGGCGGGCGGGCGGGCGGGGCGCGGGCCGGGGGCTGGTGGGCGGCCCCGCCACCTCGGGGTCGGGACGTCGGCGCTCTGTCCGCGCTCGTTCCTTTTCCCAGCTCCGTCACTGCCTCCCGGGGTCGTCCTGGGTTAAATGAGCCTGGAGCTGTCATTACAGGTCGCTCGCTACCCATCAGCGAGCTCTGACACCGAGTTAGCAGGTGGTGACCAGCATTTTATCTAATGCAACAGAAAAGAATGTGTGTGCATATTTGGTGTTTGAGATACCTGGATGGAGGGGTTGCTCTCTTTTTTTAAAGTGTGTTTTTAAGTCTAGTGGGCACACAGCCTTGTACTGGCTTAAGGTGTACCACGGTGCATTTTGGCGTTGCACTTTCCCTCTTCAGTCTTGGGCTGCTCTTGTCTCTATCATTGACCTCCGGCCTGTCAAACCCAGGGGACACTGGAAGTGTCATCTCGTTTAGCTCAGCAGCACTTACTGGGTTGAACATGCCCTCCTTTTTGAAACAGGTTTTGGTGTTCTGATTTTCATCTGATTTCACTGCCTGCTTTTTTTTTTTTATAGTATGTTTTATGGAGTTTTTTAGAGAGGAAGTGAGAGGGAGAGAGAGAGAAACATTGATGAGACACATCCATCGCCTGCCTCCTGTACGCCGCCCCCCCCCCACTGGGGATTGAGCCTGTAGCCTGGGCATGTGCCCGGACCTGGAACCCAGCGAGGACCTCTCAGTCCACTGAGCCACCGACTGGGCCCCTTTTTTTTGTTGCTAATCCTCATCCGAGGATATTTTTCCATTGATTATTAGAGAGAGTGGAAGGGAGAGAGAATTAGAGAAACGTCAATGTGAGAGGTGCATCGATTGTTTGCCTCCCAGGTATGTTCCCTTGACCGGGATTGAGCCTGAGACTCTGGTTCATGGGCTGGTGCTCTAACCACTTAGCATACCCACCGGGCCATCATTGCCTACTTTTTCTTTGCTATCCAACCTCTCAGTGTCTAGCTGCTCAGGTGGGTCCTGGGCCATCTCCTTGCATGTTTCCCCTTAACATTCTTATTTATTTTTGTGATTTCAAATGTCACCTTTATGGGAACAGCTCCCAGGTTTATATCTCCATCTGAGATATTTCCTCGGGATCTAGTCTGTGTACCCAGGTGCTCACTTGACATTCCACTTAAGTGTCACAAGACATCTCAGATGTAGTGTATTTAAAGCAGAGCTCTTTATTTTCCTGCGGAAATCCCAGTCTTCTTGACCTTGGTAAATGGTACCACTGTTCAACCTAAGGTGAAAGCTAAGAGCTGTTCTAGTAAACCCCACACTCCACATCCAGTCCACCCATGAATTCTGTCAGTTATACCACCAGTATTTCATTTGAATTTATCTCTTCTACTTTTTCTGTGGTCCGGGCCACCATCTGGCTCAGATTCATGTAAAACCGTCTTCCTTCTTGGGCTCCCTACCACTATGTTTGGCTGCATCCAGTTCATGTTCCATCCAGCAGCAAGTGTGACTCTTACAAATTTAAATCAGGCTGAACCACTGCCTTGCTTAACACCTCTCAGTGGCTTTCCATTGCTCTCAGATAAAATTCCAGCGTCGTCCTCTGAATCTGGTCCTGCTTATTCTGTTAGCCTTCACGTGGGCTCTTTACCTGTTCTTTTGAGCCAGTCATCCTATAAGACCCAAGTTTGTTTTTGGCTGAGGGTATTTATATTTTCTGTTTCTACTGGAACATATTCACCCAGTTGTTGTTTTGACTAATTCTTACCCTTTATGTCTCGGTTTAAATGTGAGATGATTGTCCCATCTAAAATAGTTCTCTTTGTCATAGTGTGTTTGGTACTGTAGAATGTTTATCACAGGGTATTAAGTTCTTTTTTAAAAAATTTTATTTCTTCATTGATTTTAGAGAGAGATGAATGGAGAGGGAGAAAGAAACATTGATGAGAGAGAACATCGATTGGCCGCCTCCTACATGCCTTCCACTGGGGATCAGGCCCACTACCTGGGCATGTGCCCTGACCCAGGAATTGAACTGGTGACCTCTTGGTGCATGGGTTGATGCTCAGCCACTGAGCCACACCAGCCAGGCAAGCTTTTAACTTCTTTATGATCTATTTCCACCCTTGAATATAAATTCAAGGGCAGGGACCATGTTTATGCTGTCTTCCTTTTGCTTAATAGAATGTCCAGCACTCAGTAGGTGTAGAGCAGATGTTAAATGAACACTTGATGATATGACGGACCTCTGCTTGGATACATACTCTGCTGAGAAAATGCAGAGAACTGTGGTGGATGGGTCTACTGTGGACTGAGGTTTCAAGCAGGTACTTGGGGATGCCTGATGAATCTACGTCCTGCTTCACATCTCTGCCCTTTCAAACCTTCTCTGCCCCCTCCTCAAGTCCTGACTCTGCTTTTGTCCTTCTTCTCTTCATTTTCCACACAGCTACCAGAATATTCTTTTTTTTTCAAGAACAGATTGTCCCTGGCCCATTTGGCTCAGCAGTTAGAGCAGCAGCCCATGGACCCAAGAGTTTGATTCCGGTCAAGAGCATGTACATTGGTTGCGATTCCATCCCCGGCCCTGGTTGGGCTTGTGTGGGAAGCAACCAATGGATGTGTCTCTTTCACATCGATGTTTTTCTCTCTCTCCCCCTCCTTCCCTCCCACTTTATCTGAAAATCAATGGAAACATATCCTTGGGTGAGGATTAAAAAAAAAGAATATCTTATGTTGCTGTTTATTTATTCATTGTTGTTGAGTGTTTACTGTGTGCTAAGGACCTATGGAACCTCGAGAAAGTAGTGGTAAACAAACAGTAGTCCCTGCTGTACTCTTTAAAAGAAATTTTTTTTTCTTTATTGATTTTTAGAGAGAGAGAGGAAGGGAGAGGGAGACAGAGATAGAAACATCAATTGGCTGCCCCTGCATGTCCCCCACTGGGGATCGGGGCCACAACCTGGGCATGTGCCCTGACCAGGAATCGAACTGGCGACCTCTTGGTGCATGGGTGGACGCTCCAGCCGGGCCCTGCTTCACTCTAATGGGAGATGATCCTGTGAACACAGGAGTCGTAATAAAGATCACACATTCAGTACTTGCTTATGCCAAGCCCAGTTTTGTGCGCTTTATACATATAAACTCGTTTAATTCTCACCAGAGCCCTACTAGGGGAGGTGTTAGTTCCCCAGAGAGGATAAGTGACATGCACAAAGTCCTAGCTAGTAGGTGGCCCAGTAGAGCCCACCCTCCTCACCACTGAGTGTGTCTTTGTGCAGTCACAGACTGAGGAGAGGTTTGAAGGCAAGATCGAGGGTTCCATGAGGGGTGTGACTGGGGGACCTCACTTTGTTTGAGATGAGGAGTTGCTTAGTCACCGTGAGCTGAAGAATGACCCAGGTACAGAGAACAGGGTTCACGGTTCTGAGGCGGGAAAGTGCTCGGTTCAGTGGAGGACTGGGAGGTGGGCCATGTGACCACTGCAGTGAGCAGGGGAGGGTGGGCTGCTGCAGAGGGAAGCTGGTCAGCGTGGAGGGCTCTGTTCAGCATTTTCCTAAGAGTGGCAGAAAGCCAGTGGGATTGAGTACAGTGATGTAGACAAGTGCTGGCTGATAGGAGACAGTAGACTGGAGGGAAGTGAAGGGCTGGAAGAACGGCAGTTACCTCGAACAGTAACAGATAGGTCAGTGTAGAGCAGGGAGCTGGGTGTGGGGTGATTGGGGGAGGTGAGAGAAGGGGGAAGGAGCTGAGACCCTGGGTTTCTGGGCAGGTGGTTTAGGAGGGGATCTCTAGAGGTTAGTGTGGACCTGTTTCAAGGTGAATTTTGGGTAAGCTATCCAAACGGTATTTGAAGAAGGCAGGTGGACATACAGGTCTGGGCATAGATGGGAGGTCTAACCTGGGAGCATGCATTTGGGAGTCCTTAGAAGGAGAATGGGGTGTGAGGTCCTGGGAGTGGGTGACCAGCCGAGGCTAGAGTGTAATGAAGAGAAGGGCCACCTCTGCAGCTCAGGGTCCGGGTGGCCCTGCTGCCCTCTCTTCATGTTCCTGTTTCCTCTCCCTCTCCCACTGACCTGACCAACTAACTCCTTCTGTCCTTCAGGAATTAATAGAAGTCGCCCCTTGGTGGAGTCCTCTCAGACTCCCCCTTCTTGGTGCCACTGCAGGGCCTAATGTCTTGCCTCACTCCCTACATTCCATATGCGTGGCCATGTTTGCGTGAAACCCATTTTCCTAAATAGCTGAACCCTGCCAGCAAGCTGCCCTTGTGTGGTGGTCGCTTTTCCTGAAAAGTCCCCCCTTCATCAGGGAAGGTGGACCGCAGAAGACATCCATCCGTCTTTCAGGCTTAGCTCTGAGGTCACCACTTTGTTCATCAGACATTCATGGGGCCCCAGCATCAGGCACTGAGCTAAAGGCTGGAATTACCGTGATGCTGCTCACGGGAGGAGACTCACATGTGACCAGAGCACCCTAACTGAGTGGCGAGAAGCCTGCAGGAGCCAGTCGATGTGCTTTCTCATCGATGTTTCTCTGTCTTCCTCTCCCTTCCTCCCTTCCTCAAAATCAATAAAGAAAAAAAAGAAGCCTGAGGGAGACTGCAGAAAAATTCACACTGTCCAGGCAGTGGTGGGTGTTCCCAGCAAAGAGCTTGACAAATGTGTAAGGGCTTCGAAGTGCTGCTGGCTGAGGACTGCAGGAGGGGCCAGGCTGCAGGGAAGGTCCTGGGCGCAGTATGGAGATGAAAGTCTGGGGACGATGGAGATACCTAGTGGGCAGCTACAAATGCATCTGGCCTCTTAGGAGAGGGCATTGCTCTGCATGGGTTTGGGCTTGTCGGCACCCACTAACACTTATGGGGTGACAAGCTGGGGTTCAGGGATCACAGAGGAAGGAGGTGTCCTCACTTGAAAGTGTTTCCTGCTCAAAGGATCGAGACCCCAGCATTTCCTGTCTGTCTTCCCCACCCCTGAGGTCCTGCTTCCTCTCATGGTGTGGGTCTTCCTGCAGTCTGCCCGTCAGCCCTGACTCGGATGGGTGCAGCCTGGAGTGCCTTCACGGGGGCTGGTGTGCAGTGCTGGCTGTTGTGGTTGGCACACTCTTGGGGTCTCCCTCTTCCAAATACCAGGTTCAGAGGTTACAGGAAGTGGGGGAAAGCACAAAGACCCTCCCAAAACAACGGACAACAAGTGAACCCCAAGCAGAGCCAGAGCTGTCAATCTGAGGGGCTGCTCATGGTGATGGGCATCCCCGGCTAGAGGTGGGGTGGTGGCGGGTGGCCCCGGGAGAAGTGTGCACACACTTGGCTTCCCACTGACCCGTTTCGTGTGTTGCAGCTGGACCAGATCTGCATTTCTTTTGACGAAGGCAAAACTACAATGAACTTCGTGGAGGCAGCGCTGCTGATCCAGGGCTCCGCCTGTGTCTACAGTAAGAAGGTGGGCGCCCCAGCTGCTGGGCTTGCTGTTTCAGTGTCTAGCAGGACCAAGGTCCTCTTTGCTGCTGGGGCAGGAGGCAGGTCTTGCCAGCCCCTCCTGTCTCCTTCCCAATCCCTTGCCACCTTTTTTTTTTTTTGAGAGAGAGGAAGGGAGAGGGAGAGATAGAAACATCAATTGGCTGCCTCCTGCATGCCCCCACTGGGGATTTGGCCCACAACTTGGGCATGTGCCCTGACCGGGAATTGAACTGGTGACCTCTTGGTGCAGGGTCGATGCTCAACCACTGAGCCACACCGGCCAGGCTTCCTTCCCACCTTTTAACACTGAACAGAAAGCTTGGATTTAACATTGCAGGACCTGCCCTGGCCAGTTTGGCTCAGCGGTTAGAGCGTCAGCCTGCGGTCCAAAGACACTGGGGTTCGGTTCCCGCTAAGGGCATGTACCTTGGCTACAGTTTGTCCCTGGCCCTGGTTGGGTCGTGTGGGTGGTGGCCACTCGATGTGTCCCTTTCACGTCGATGTTTGTCTCTGTTCCTCCCACTCTATCTGAATAAAAAATGGACATGTCCTCGAGTGAGGATAAAAAAAAAATTTAAAAAAACAAACTGGCCCTGGCTGGTTTGGCTCAGCGGTTAGAGCGTCGGCCTGCGGTCCTGAGAGACCCGGGTTCGGTTCCCACTAAGGGCATGTACCTCGGTTGCGGTTTGTCCCCGGCCCTGGTCGGTTGTGCGGGTGGCAGCCACTAGATGTGTTCCTTTCACATCGATGTTTCTCTCTCTCTCTGTTCCTCTCTCTCCCACTCTACCTGAACAAAAAATGGAAAAATGTCCTCGGGTGAGGATAAAAACAAACAAACTGCAGGACCTGCTTCTAAACATCTGACAATGTACAGGAGAGCCCCATGCGACAAAGAACTGTCCAGCCCATGACAGTGTCTGGTCTCCAAGTTGAGAGCCTGTTGCATAATGACAGGAAAAGCAAAAGGGAGGGAGCACCTTGGGGAAACCAGTGTTCAGGGAGTGCTGACAGAAGGAGAAGTCAGAGACCGGTGATCGAGAAAGTGTCCTTGCAGAGAAGTCAGAGCAGTGGAGAATTGCCAGGGGAAGAGAAATGACCAAACACGTTGCGTCCGGTGAGTTACAACTATACACGAAAGTTTTCGAGTGTCTACTGGGTCTGCAGTTAGGAGGTGCCAGGGATTTAGTGAGAGGAGGCCTGACTACTGGCCGACGAGAAGTATGGAGGCATGGGACAGTGCTCAAGGGCAGCGTGGGCTCCTCTTTAAGACTTTACAGAAAAGGCCCTGGCCAGTTTGGCTCAGCGATTAGAGCGTCGGCCTGCGGTCTGGAGAGACCCGGGTTCGGTTCCCGCTAAGGGCACGTACTTCGGTTGCAGTTTGTCCCCGGCCCTGGTTGGTCGTGCGGGTGGCAGCCACTCGATGTGTCCCTTCATGTGGATGTTTCTGTCTGTCTCTCCCTTCCTCTCTCTCCCTCCCACTCTATCTGTACAAAAAATGGAAAAATATCCTCAGGTGAGGATAAAAAAAAAAAAAAAAAGACTTTACAGAAAAGCCCTGGCCGGTTTGGCTCAGCGGTTGGAGCGTTGGCCTGCGGACCAGAGAGTCCCGGGTTCAGTTCCCACTAGGGGATGTATCCACCCCCCAAAAAAAAAGACTTTTACAGAAAAGAAGAGGAAAAAGACAGCAGTAATAAAAGCTGCGGTTCTCAACTCAGGCTACAGTCCAAACATTTACCAGTGGCTGGACTTAACGCAGACTGATTACATTGGAACTGGGGGTTGGGGGTGGAACGGGCATCAGGATTTCTTTTTTTTATCCTCACCCAAGGACATTTTCCCATTTTTTGTTCAGATAGAGTGGGAGGGAGAGAGGAAGAGAGAGAGAGAAACATCGACGTGAAAGGGACACATCGAGTGGCTGCCTCCCACACGACCAACGAGGGCCGGGGACAAACCGCAACCGAGATACGCACCCTTAGCGGGAACTGAACCCGGGTCTCTCTGGACCGCAGGTCGACGCTCTGACCGCTGCGCCAAACCGGCCAGGGTGCATCAGGATTTCTTAACACATCTTTAGTGACAGTGGAGATTGGAAACCATGGAGCTCAACTATAAATAGGCAGCTGGGGAAGGGGTGGGAGGAAAGGGGACGGAGCAGAGAGGAAAACGGTGAGCAGACTCCCGGCAGAAAGGAGGGCTGGGTCAGGGGTGGGTCAGGGCTGGGCTGTATCTCATCCTGGAGACTGGAGGGAGACGTAAAGACTGAGGGAGACTTGGGCACCGGGATTTGGGGAGTTGATGCCCAAGACCTCAATTTCTGTAACAATATAAGTTGGCTACTGAGAGTCAGTTACTGGATAGAAAATTTCACAAAATTTGGCAAAAGTTGAATATTTGCTGAGGAGAATGCAAAATAAAACATGAATGGAAAGCACTGAGGGTCTAATGGAGATTCAATGCACCTGCTGTCTCAGGGACACCAGCGGCCCCTGGCTGTCCCTCCTGCAGCAGGCTGAGCAACCCCTTGAGGGGGAGGAAAGGGGACCACGGCACTGATCCAAGTTGGCCATTTCGGGGGTGGGAGGTGGGAGTTGGAAGAGCTGTGAGGAGCTCAGTGCCAGGGTCCAAAGCAGACAGAAGGGACAGGAGCCTGCTCGCCCTTCAGCTGGCCCAGGATGCTGTGGCCGAGCCTCTGGGCACCGCAGGGTGTTGAGGCCGTCTAAGGCTCCACCGATTCTTCTCTCAGACACTCCAGTCAAACCGAGTTCTTATATCCTGTGTTTATCCTAAGAAGGAACGTCTGCCCCCGACTTTGAAAGCACAAGTACAGGTGAACTGGTAGGTAGATGGGTAGATCTGTGATGGGCAGGAACGGCAGGATGTTGACTGGAGTCCAGTCTGGGGTGTGGGCTGCAGGCTCTAGGTCCTTGCCCAGGGGGCCTCCTGAGGGCTGCGAGGTCTGAGTCTGTGGTCAGGTGGGGGCTGCTGAGCCCCGATTAAAGCTGGGGACAGTGAAACAAGGAAGGGCTCAGGGCAGAAGCAGCAGCGGGAGAGCCCGAGCCAGGGCTGCTTTGGCTCCTAGGAAATAAGTCGCTGATGGAAGGGAGCAGGCAGGGCTGCTGGCAGCGCACGGGAGAGCCGGGGAAGGGGCGGCCCTGGAGACAGGGTCGGGGTGAGCCCAGGTCGAGCTGCTGCTGCCCACTGCACCCCTGGGTGCAAGTCTCGTGGGGTTCCTCAGTTTAGGAGCCGAAAGCCGGCTTGCCCAGGGGGAAGGAGAGGGGAAGGGAAAGGCTGCTGCATGCTCCCGGGAGGGCGAGCGCCCGAGTTCAGTTCTCCTGTGGAACGAGAGTAGCAGTGGCATCTGATCTGGACACTGAGACGAAGCGTGAAGCACGGCTGCGTGTGTGCAGCGAACACTTAGAAAAGTGAACGTTTGTTATCCCTTGTAAATGGGGTCCACACGGAGGTCGCCGTGTCTCTTGCTCACCACTGTGCAGTGCATGAAAGAAAAGGCAGGCGGCAGAGAGGGCTGTGTGTGCCCTCAGGTGCTTCGCCCAGAGGAAGTGGCCCAGAGGTAGCAGGTGCACATACCCTGCTGGTGGGTGTTTTGTGGTGAGCGTCTCCAAATCCCACCCTCACCCTAAGGGCAGGGCCCCGTGGGCTGTGGCTGGAGTGGTGCCAGGTGCTAGAGACTCGGCTCCTGGAGGTGGCACAGTGGCAGTGGATGAGGCCAGCAGAGGGGAAGGAGCCAGCGTGCAGGCACCTGTGCCGGGGCCACGGGCCACGGACAGCACAGCCTTGAGGGCCACGCCGCTGCCATGTCAGGGTAGGCAGAGGGCTCAGCTGTTAGAGTGATTCTCTTCAACCGGAGACGTGCTTTCGGTGGCCACGTTGGCAGGACTTGTGCTGTGGGTTTTGGAGGAGACCGTGGGGTTCTCTGTGCATGGATGTCTGGGTTGGAAGGCTCTGGGGAGGGCCCTGGACATGCAGGTGGGCTCTTTTCTGCGTCCTCATCTCCTGCTTCCGGCCTCCAGGTTGAATACCTGTACTCGCTGGTCTACCAGGCCCTCGACTTCATCTCTGGCAAGAGGTGAGTCCGGGAGGTGCGAGCTGGGAGGTGGAGGCCTGCGTGTGCCCAGCCGTCAGCTCAGGAAGCCCCTGCAGCCTCCGGACGCCCGTGCATTGATTCTCTCAGGCAGGCCAGGCAGCTCTCGGCGCAGGAAGATGGGGCCATCAGGGACGCCAGCTCCAGGGCCTCCCGGCAGGTGGAGGATGAGGTGAGGTCTCCTGGGCACATGGCTGCTGCCTGCTGTGTGCTCTCTGGGCCCTGCTACTGAGCCATTGTCTCCTCACAGTTCCTGTCGCTGGATGACCTGCCCGACACCCGTGCTAATGTGGACCTGAGGAGTGAGCAGTGCCCCAGTGTGAGTGCCCCTCCTCCACGGTGGGGCTGAGTGCCGCTGATAGGGGTGTTGGACAGTGTGGTCATCCCAGAGGGTTCCCCACCCACAGCCCACAGCTCACCCACTCTCGGCCCCTGTGCAGGAGGTTGTCATCGTGCCCCTTCTGCCAATGGCCCTGGTAGCCCTGGATGAGATGGAGAAGAACAACAACCCCCTGTACAGGTTCGGGCCCGGGCCTGGTGCGGGGATGGGGGGCTGTCAGGGAGGGTCTCTGCAGCAGCTGTGTTTTTGCCCGCACAGCTGTCAGGGGGAGGTCCTGGCCAGTCGGAAGGATTTTAGGATGAATACGTGCACCCCTCACCCCAGAGGAGCCTTCATGTTGGAGCCGGTGGGCTTGTCCCCCATGGAGACACTGCTGCCAAGGAGGGGTGAGGGCTCGGGAGTGGGGCCTGGTGGTAAGGAAGGGTCACAGGGCTGGGCTCCTCGTTGGGTACCCTGCGGCCACCAGCTCTGGTCTCTGGAGCTCCTCCCTCCCTCGTCTCCTGCTCCACAGAGCTGCCTACCGGAGCTGGTCCCACTGCCCGTCTCCTGTCGTTGCCCACAGCTAGCTCAGTCCAGGGTGCCTGAGTCCTGTTCCAGGGCTCTGCTCTCCCTCCCAGACCTGGCTCCTCTGGTCCCTTGGGAGGGGGGTCTGGGGAAGGGGTGGGGCTGACCCATCTCACCCCATCTCTCCTAGAGGCTGAGAGGGCTGAGGAGCAGCCAATGGAAGTGTCTGTGATCAGGAGTCCGGTCCCTGTGCCCAGCATCTCCCAGGAGCCAGGTGAGAAGAGAGGGCATCCTGGTGGACCTGCAGGTGGGGTGGGGACGGGACAGGGCTCTGCGCTCAGCTGACCCAGCCTGCCGTCCCTCTGTGCCTGTGCTGGGAGGCAGGGGAGTAGTGCGACCTTGGAGCTGGCCCCGTGCGCCAGGCCTGCCTCGCCCCACCCGCCCACTGCCGTCTGCTCATTCGCGCCCAGGCCTCCCCTCTGCAGACACAGAGGGCAGCATTTTTTTTTTTTTAATCCTCACCCGAGGACATTTTTGCATTTTTTGTTCAGACAGAGCGGGAGGGAGAGAGAGGAAGAGAGAGAGAGAGAAACATCGATGTGAAGGGACACATCAAGTGGTTGCCACCCACATGACCAACAAGGGCCGGGGACAAACTGCAACCGAGGTACGTGCCCTTAGCGGGAACCGAACCCGGGCCTCTCTGTACCGCAGGTCGACGCTCCAACCGCTGAGCAAATCCGGCCAGGGCCAGAGGGCAGCATTTAAAGAGGAAAGTAGCCCTGGCCAGTTTGGCTCGGCTGTTAGAGCGTCGACCCGCAGACCAGAGTTGTGGGCTCTGTTCCGGTCCAGGATGTGCCCCTCAGTTGTCATTCTGGCCTGGGCCTGGTCGGGTTGTGTGGGCGGCAACCAGTGCATGTGTCTCTCTTGCTGGATGTTTCTCTCCCCCACCCCTCCCCACTCTGACTGAAGATAAATGGAAAAATACCCTAGGGTGAGGATTTTTTTTAAAAAAGGAAAGTAGCTAAGACGCGAGGTGAACTGAACAGCAGCGTGAGGAGGGTGTGGAGCCAGCGCTGCGCTCTCTGGTCTAATGACAGGCCAGATGGGATGGCTCAGGTCCACGGGTAGCCCCCTGCCGTGTGATCTCTGGTCTCCTCAGGGCTGACAGGTCTCTTGCTCCTCGGCCCAGGCACCTCTCCAGAAGGCCCGAGGCCCGGACACGGGGGTGAAGATGAGGATGATGCAGAGGGAGCAGCAGAGCTCCCTGAGGCCGAAGCCCCCGAGGTCCCACTGGAGCCCCAGGAGCCCAGGAGCCCGCAGCAGGTGGGACCCACACTGAGGCCTGCAAAGCTTGAGCAGACCACCAGGCAAGCCCTGGGTTTGCGGCAGTCACACGGACACGGGAGGCGGTCCCGTGCTCGGCGCTGTCCCACCCTGGTCCTGCACAGGGCAGTGGGTGCCCCACACATAGTCCTCCTGGGCAGCCAGGTCCATGTCCTCTCCCAGCACAGCAGCTGCTGCTCCTCCGAGGGGTGGGCTGGTGTCAGGTGCCCGTGTGGCACCCAGGGTGGCATCTGGTCTCTGGGGCTCTCTTCTGAAGCCAGGCTGGCAGGAGGGTGCACCTTGGAGACCTTCACTGCCTCCCTCCACCCCAGGGTGGGCTCTGTGCTCCAGCCCTAGAGCTAAGGAATCTCTTTTTCTATCACAAGGCAAGCCACACACAGGAAAGGGTTAGTATTTATTAATTTTGGCAGGTAGCTACATGGATATTGATCATATTATTCTGTTCTTTTTTTTCCTTTTTCCCCATGCCCACTAGTTTACTGGTTTGTGTGTTCTCCCAAGTTTTTCCTGGTGGCTTTACTTTTTAGTCCTTGAACTATTTGAAATTCCTGCCCCCAAAGAGGGTCCCTACAGAGTATTTGCTCCCAGAGCGGAGGAAGGGCATCCCTGAGGCCGTTTCTTTGCAGAGCACTGCCCAGCCCAGGAGGTTTGACCTGCGGGAGAGGCCAGAGGCCCTGGAGCCTGTGTCCCAGCTGAAGGTGAGGTAGTGGGCTCAGACCCCTGACCCCACTGGCAGGGAGGGTCTGGCTGAGGCTCCACCCCCCACTTCTTTGCTCCTGCCTGCCTGAGGTCTTTCCACCCTTGGGTCCTGGATCGAGTGTGACCAGCCCTTTCCTGGCTGTCACTGCAGTGCTGGCTTCAGGGGGAGTGTATGTCCCCCCTCGGCCTGAGTTTGCTTGTACTCTGCTCAGGAGACCCCAGACCCCTGGCAGAGCCTGGACCCCTTCAACTCCCTGGACTCTAAGCCCTTCAAGAAAGGTAATTGGGTGGAAGGACCACCACACCTGGTGCCTGGCGGGGTTTGCAGGGGTACAGGTGGTGGGTTGTGGCCTGTACCGAGGGAGCTGGGCAGGGCTGTGCTCCCTCGTGTGATGGCTCCTCGGGGTGTGGGCGCTGCGGTCTGCCCAGGGCCTGCAGATGTGCTCCGAGACAGTCCATTCCCCAGGTAGGCCCTACTCCGTTCCTGCCTGCGTGGAGGAGGCTCCAGGACAGAAGCGCAAGAGGAAGGGTGCCACCAAGCTGCAGGACTTCCACCAGTGGTGCCTGGCCACCTGTGAGTGGGGTGTGGGGCTGGGCCAGGCCAGGCCAGGAGGGGACTTGGCCTGGCTCCTGACCACCCAGTTGTCTTGCAGACGCTGACCACGCTGACGGCAGGAGGCCCCGGAGAAAGGGCCCATCATTTGCAGGTGAAGGCCGTGCGCCCTTCTGAGGGATAATGGCGCCGTGCTCTGCCTGCCTCCCCTCTGCTTGGGGATGCCAAAGCCCTGGGTGGACTGGGGTGGGCTAGGCAGCACGCAAGCGCCCTCATGAGGCTCTTGTACGTAGACATGGAGGTCCTGTACTGGACACATGTGAAGGAGCAACTGGAGACCCTGCGGAAACTGCAGAGGAGGGAGGCAAGTACCGGCCACTGTGGACCCCATGCAGCCCTGGTGGTGGGAGACAGCATGGCCTCACAGCCTGTCTGCACAGGTAGCTAAGCGCTGGCTGCCGAGGGCCGAGGAGGGGCTGTGGCCCGTGGAGGAGGACCGCCTGGAGGACTCCCTGCAGGAACTGGGGGCGGCAGGTGGGTGCCTGCCAGGGCAGGGAGGGGACAGGGGACAGCCGGGACAGGCTGCCCACCGACTTGCCTCCTGCTGGGGCCACCCCGTCTCCCAGCAGATGACTTTCTCGAGCCTGAAGAGTATGCAGAGCCTGACGGGGCCAAGCTTGGGGAAGCTGCAGACCTGGGTAGGTGTAGGAGTGAACTGCTGGCCAGGGTTGTCCTGAGGGTCCCCTTGGGGACAGGGGAGGGAGGAGAGGGTGTGGCCCACACCTCACAGCTGCTCCCCTTTTCCAGAAGCAGAGGCCATGCCCGCATCCTTGAGCTATGAGGAGCTGGTCCGAAGGAATGTGGTAGGCCCTGGTTGGAGTGGGTGGGGAGCTGGGTGCATGGGCACCTGATGGAAGGCGGTAGCCCCTGGTTCTCCCCTAGGAGCTCTTCATCACCACCTCTCAGAAGTTTGTCCAGGAGACAGAGCTGAGCCAGCGTGTCAGGGACTGGGAGGACAGCATCCAGCCTCTGCTCCAGGAGCAGGTGAGGGGCTGGGCAGGCTTCTGCTTGGGGACTGGAGCCTCCCTGCTGCCTGCAGGGTTCGCCTCAGGACCTTGCCCTTCCCCCTCGCAGGAGCAGCACATGCCCTTTGACATCCACATTTATGGGGACCAGATGGTCTCAAGGTTCAGCCAGCTCAACCAGTGGTGTCCCTTCGCGACGCTGGTGGCTGGCCAGCCTGCCTTTGAGGTGTGCCGTGCCATGCTGGCCTCCCTGCAACTGGTGAGTGGCTCTGGGAGCCTGGGAGGGAAGCAGTCCCTGGGCTCTGCTGACACTCTGTCCTTACAGGCCAATGACCACACTGTGGAGATCACCCAGCAGCCGGGGCTGGAGGCGGCCGTGGACACCATGTCCCTAAGACTGCTCACGCACCAGCGGGCGCACAAGCGCTTCCAGACCTATGCTGCCCCCTCCATGGCTCAGCCCTGAGTGGGGAGCCCTGTCCCCTGTGGCTATTGGGCACACAGCTGCTCACTCCCACCTACTTCCTGGCTGGCCCAGCCTAATAAAGTGGTTTCCATCCAACCTATTCCTTGAGAAGGTTCCTGCTCTGTGTAGAGATCGCTGCCCACCTCCAGCACCCCAGCTGCACTCAGGCGCTAGGCCCTTTCCTGCTGTGGCCTCCAAGGCAGCTGGTACAGCTCATGCACACACAGCTCCACCACGCCCTTTAATGGCCCGACTCAGTGCAGGACACTGCGGAAGGCGGCCATGTGGTGCCGCACGCTGTCTGCAATCTGCTCGGCTGACCTGGCCCGGCCGTAATAGTCTGTGAAGAGGCCGTCAGGGTTGAGCAGGTAGATGGCAATGGAGTGGTCCACAATGTAATCCTGATCCTCGTCCTTGGGGCCAGCGCTGTAGTACACCCGGTAGCTGTGGCTAACCTGGGCAACCTGCTCCGCGGAGCCAGTCAGGCCCAGCAGCCGTGGGTGGAAGTCCCGCACATAGCGGGCCATGGCTGCAACATCGTCCCGCTCCGGGTCCACAGTGATGAAGATGGGCTGCACGGGGGGCAGGCCAGGCTCAGCCTCCAGTTGCTGTACCACCTGCACCAGCTTCTCCAGCTCATCAGGGCAGATGTCCGGACAGTGAGTGAAGCCAAAGTACATCAGCACCCACTGGCCCCGGAAGTCAGCTTTGCAGCGAGCTCGGCCGCAGTGGTCCAGCAGGCTAAAGTCACCCTGGCCCACGGAGGCCTGGCGCAGGGCCTCTGTCCGCCTTTGCTGCTGCTGCTGCTCCTTCTCAGCCCTCATGGCCAGCCAGACCCCACCCAACCCAGCCCCAAACAAGGCTGTGACCAGCAGCCTAGTTCGCAGCCCAGGGCCCTGGGGCTGGCCCTGCCTGCCCGTCGCTTCGGGGCCCTGCTTTGACGAGAGCCAGGACTTCACGTGGAGGGCCGGGGGCTTGAGCTGAGAGGGCCCATGCCGAGCCTGAGGCATCTGAGCCAGCAGCAGCATGGGCCTGATGCTCCTGGAAAGAGAGCAGAGGTTTCAGGAGCCAGAAGGTCCTTGGCCTCCTGGATCCTCTTTCATCACTAGAGACTGGCCACCAACTGAAGGACCAACCCCACACTTAGGCTCACAGCTGTCCCCAGCTGGTCACCCAGTGCCCCGCTGAGCTCAGAACCACTTCACCTCTGAAACCTTAAACTCCAGCTTAGGTGTCATCGAAAAGTCCACACCTCTCACTCCTGTCCTTTAGCCGCGTGTCATCCCACCTGCTCTCACCCCGCCCCGGCCCGCAGCTCCAGGCAGCCCAGCACTCACCTGTGTGTTAGCATCTGAGCCGACTGGATTCCTGCGCACGTGGATCTGCAAGAAGCGCCCACTTGAGAACGGAGGCTGGGGAGCCTGGCTTCGACCCTCCAAGACGGGCTCCTCCCCTTTTGCAGCCCAGCAGCCTTCGCTTCAGAGCCCTCCTTCCGCACCCAGAGCAGAAACCGTGTCACCCACACCAGACTCCCCCAGAGTGCGGCTGTGATTACCCACCAGTACTTGCCGCGCCGTCCCTGGGCGCTCCCATTGCGAGCCTCCCTTCCCGCGCGCACCCGCCGGCGACACCGGCTTCCGCCGGCAACAAATCCCCCTTCACACTCGGGTCTCCGACCACTCGGGGCTCACGGCGCACGCCCCGCCGTTTCCTCGGTGACCGCGCCTTTCTGCAGGGGCTTCTGGAGCCTCGCTAGGTGGTCTGAGGACCCCTCACCTCTTCGGCTGCGGCTGAGGGCCCCCCGAGGACGCCCGAGCGCCCGGCCGCCACCCCTCGTCACGATCTCTGGGCTGGGGGACCTTGGCCACGTCCCTAGCCTCTCTGTACCGCTTCCCCCTTTACAAAGTGGCTCGAAGCGGGCACGAGATGTGCCCGGCAAGCGCAGGCACCTGCGGGTGCTTCCTGGGCCCGTCCGGGAGCGCACCCCCTCCAGGGCGCTCCCCGCAACGCGCCGCCGTCTGCCCAGCGGCGACCACGAAGCTGGACTCCGCCGCAGGCCACGTCCCGAGCACAACCCAGGAGCCCGCCCGTCCCTCCGTCCCCTGCACCCGCGGTCTTCTCAGGCTCCCCGGGGGCTGCACTTCGGGCGGCCCGGCATCGGGGACCACGGCCCCGAGCTCGCAGACGGCCGGTAGCCGGGTTCTGCCGTGTGGCGGCGCTCGGGGCCACTGCGCACGCGTCAACGGCGCCGCGCACGCGCAGCCGGGTCGCTGTCGATAGTGCGCGCGGAAGGAGGTGGGGGGGGCCACCAAAGAGGGTCACGTGCCGGACGGGCCGGGAAGAGCCCCGCCCCTTGTCGCGAGGGCCACGCCTCCCGCGGAGTTGTCCGCTCGCCGGCCCTTCCTGCCCGCCCCCCTCTCCCCTCCCCACGGCGCGGCAGGCACGGACACGGCTTTACGGCTCTCGGGCTTTATTGCTGCGCAGTGGTTGGCGGCAAGATGAGCTCCGCAAAGGGCGAGGGGGCGGTGAAAGGTTCACGGTCCGAGAGCACGAGCGCCTCCTGCAGGGCACTGCGCTGCGGGTCGCTGAGCGCAGGCGCATCCAGGTGCACGCGGAGCCACGGCGTCCCTGCGGGTCGCGGGACAGGAGGTTAGCGGGCGGGGCGGGAGGTTGGCGGGCGGGGCGGGCGATCAGCGGGCGGGGCGGGAGGTTGGCGGGCGGGGCGGGAGGTTGGCGGGCGGGGCGGGCGATCAGGGGGCGGGGCGGGAGGTTGGCGGGCGGGGCGGGAGGTTGGAGGGCGAGGCGGGCGGGGCGGGCGGCCAGCGGGCGGGGCGGGCGGCCAGCGGGCGGGGCGGCCAGCGGGCGGGGCGATCACTGGGGACGTGGCGGCCCGCGGGGGCGTGGAGGGACGGGAATCCGCGCTCACCGCGGCACAGCCTTTGGCCCACGCTGACCAGCAGCTCGGCGCCCACACCCAGTTGGAGTGGCTCCCCGGCGCGGCTGCGCCCGGCCCCGAGCTCGTGCAGTACGCGCGCCAGCGGCAGCGCCCGGACGAGTTCCACGGTGCCTGCGGGGAGACGTGCCAGGTGGGGCGGTGGCTGGTGGGCAGGGCCAGGGCCTTAGGAAGGGGAGGGCCCTAAGCGGGGGTGGAGCGCGGGTCTGGGAAGCTCACCGTCGGTGGGCGCGAGCAGTTCCTCTTGTTTCTGGGCGCGGGGCAGCAGCTGCCGGCGCTGCGCGGGAGTCCCGGAGCACAGGGCTCGGGCCAGGCCCGCGTCCACACCCTGCATCGCGAGCATGCGCTCGAAGCGGTCCCGGGCCGAGCCGTCGTCCAGCGCTGCAGCCACCCGGGCTGCTCCCTCTGCCTGGGCTTCCGCCAGTCCGTTGAGCCAGAGCAGGACGCCCCCTGCGGGCGGGGGACCCGGGCTTAGGTGTAGTGGAGGTGGTTCTTGAGCTTCAACCCCCGCACCTCTTACCCGTCTGCTCACCAAGCCTAGTGACCAGGTCCCGCAGGTCCGGTGGCCCCGCGCCGTCCAAGCAAAGCAGGGCCTCCTCCACTTCCAGGGAGTTGCCCACGTTGCGGCCCAAGGGGTTGTCCATAGCAGTCAGAGCCGCGGCAACCCGAAGCCCCAGGCCTGCCCCTACAGCAACCTGCGGAGACACGTTCAGTGTGGCTTCTGCCCTGCGCCCGCGGGGCCTCATCCTTGTGATAATACTCCAGCTGGTGCTGCACCTTGGGTTGCCAGTTGCCCGGGAGTGAGGGGGTCACAGAAGGCTTTGGGTAGTGATAGTCGGGGAGACCTGAAGCAGGCAAGGTCGGGGTCTGGGAGACCTTGTACCTGGCCTGGGGCAGAGAGCCATGGAGGGTTCTCGAGACCTGAAGCCAGGCCAGCCTTGTCTGGGTAAGGTCACTGAGTAGGGCAGCGAAGGAGGAACTGGCATAGGGGAAGCCAGGTCCTGGCTGAGGCCATGTGACACAGGGCTGCTGAGTGGATGTGGACGGAGAGGCACACAGGGAGCAGACTGCTGAGTTCTGAAGGGGAGATGGGTCCACAGGAGGAGACCTCCCCAGCAGAGAGGCCAGAACCACCTAGGGCACCCCTGTGGAGAGGCCACACGGCTTCATGGGCACAGCTGCTCACCAGCGTTCTTGCCAGCTCCCGGGCCTCTGTCTGCCTAGGGAAGACGGCGGCCCCTCCGAATTTCACATCGATCACCAGAGCAGACAGGCTCTCCACCACCTTCTTACTGAGGATGGAGGCTGTGAGGGAGGCAGAGGGGCTGGAGGTAAAGGAGAGCCTGGAGCTTCCTGAGAGGCGCAGGGCGTTCTGACTCGGGTCAGTCATGAGGAGTCGGGGACCCTAAACATTGAGGGCCAAGTCCCTTATGATGGGAGTCACAGGGCCTGGGCAAGTCCCTCTCTTGAGTGAGTGGTCAGGCATCCTGTGAGGCTAACCCTGAGGTTGGGAGAGGTCCCACAGTCTCCTTATGAGAGGACCCCTTACTGTTCCATTAGGGGTCAGGGATTTTTTTTTATCCTCACCCAAGGACATTTTTCCATTTTTTGTTCAGATAGAGTGGGAGGGAGAGAGAGGAAGAAAGGGAGAGAGAGAGAAAAACATCAATGTGAAAGGGACACATCGAGTGGTTGCCACCCGCCCGACCCAACCAGAGCCGGGGCCAAACTGCAGCCAAGGTACGTGCCCTTAGTGGGAACTGAACCCGGGTCTCTCTGGACCGCAGGCCAACGCTCTAACTGCTGAGCCAAACCGGCCAGGGCGGGATCAGGGGTTTTTAGCATGCAGAAGGTGAACCTCGGAGTGTGGGGTCAGGTCACCTGTGATGAGTGGCAGGCTGTCCACAGTAGCTGTCACATCTCTGGCTGCATACAGGATTCCATCTGCAGGAACCAGCTTCTTACTCTGACCCACGATGCAGCAGCCCACTTTCTCCAGCAGACCTTGCATCTGGGGAAATCGCTTACATAGGACTCCCAGGCACTGTGAGTGACCTCTGATTTATGGTCCCATTACTAATCCTGATCAAAATCTCACGGCAACTTTGACGAATGTTCAAACCATGACCAGTGACTTATAAACATTCTGATGAGTCCTCCTAAATGACTGGCCCAACTCATCAGTGATATTAATCAATGTCCTGTGGACCATTAATGATTTTAACCAACTCCCTCTTCATGACTCCAAAGTTCCATTGGTAACCTTGACCAAAGTCCAATGATCATCAATGATACATCAATAACTTTGATTAATATTTTCATTAGCGACCCTAATTAACAACCCATCAGTGATTCTTCAGTGATTCTGGTTAATGTGTCCATCAATAACCCGATCAGTGACCAATCAGTGGCTCACACGTACCTGTTCTGGGCTCTGAATGACGGTGTATCCAGGAATAGACTCTAGTTTATCCAGGGTGCCCCCTGTGTGGCCCAAACCACGTCCACTGATCATGGGTACCTGCAAGGCAGGGATGGTGAGTGCACCTGCAGTCATCCACTCCACTTCTTCCCTCACCTTCTCTGGTTAGAACTTCAGCTGGAGTTAAGTATTTACTAAGAAGCTGTAGTGGGTGTCCCGCTGGTGGAGAGGGAATGGATAAGAAATTGTCCTGGTTTGGAATGGAGGGGCTCTGGGGGAGGAGGCTGGTATCTATCCTTGACACACATCTAGGAGGAGTGCCCAGCGTTTCCCTTGAGAGTCCTTCCTGGGATGCTGAAGGGGAGGGGGGCGCTTGGTAACTTGGTCCTGTTATGGGGCTGATAGGGAAGGGACCCAAGTCCTGTTCTAGGGGGACAAGAAGCTTGGGTCCTGACTTTGGGGGCTGTGTGTGGACCAAGTTTGAGGTTGGGAGCTGCCAGCCTGTGAGGTCAGAGTTTCTGGCCTGGAGGGAGGGCATCTTCTCACCTTGCAGCCACAGGCAGCCAGGGCAGGTGCCAGGGCCAGGCTGACCTTGTCACCCACTCCCCCTGTGGAATGTTTGTCCACCAGCTGCTGATGCCAGGCCTCTGGCCACTCCAGCTGCTGTCCAGAGTTGGCTAGGGCTTGGGTCAGTGCCACAGTCTCCTCCAGATCCATGCCACGCAGTCGGATGGCCATGAGCATGGCCCCTAAGCATGGGGTAAAGTGGTGTAGGCAGCATGAGGGGGCATTCCTACAGTGATGGGTTATCCTGGGGCCAGTGACAGTGGTTGGGTGCTATGGTGTGCTCAGGGCAGGAAGTCTGTGGGTTGGAATTGGGAGCACCCAACCTTCCCTTCACACCTATTTGTGCACCCTGTGCGCTCCCGTCCACCACAGCGCGAACAAAACTCTTAATGTCCCCTTCACTCAGGCGGCCTCCGTCTCTCTTCACGCGGATCAACTCCGGGAGCTGCTTGGGCTCTGGCGATGGGTCAGAAGGGCTTTGGGGCCCTCTGCTGGAGATGTCGGTCCCTGGGGTGGGTGCTGGGGATCCTGAGATCGCTGGGGTTGCCATTGCTCCAGGCCTGTGGGGTTCAAGACACACCTGGAACCTGCCAACACCCTGTGTCCCTCTGTGTGGCCAGCGGCACTTGTCCCCACCTTTCCCGTTTCTCCTGTCCACCCCCATCCCGTGCCTGTGTTGCCCATGTGCGTGTCTCTGTGTCTAGCTCCCACTTCTCGGGTTCATAATCGGACCCCAACCCTTACCTTTCTTTGCCTTTCCTGCTTCGGATTTCAGCCTGCTTCCGCCTTGCTTGCCACAAGTTCAGAAGTGCCCGATCTGAGAGGGCAGATCACTTGGGGACAGGGAGGGGCAGACCTGGGCTGGTCGCCAAGGACAGTGGGTGGGTGGGGCTTCAGTCGGGACTAGGGGAGGCGGGAAAAGGGTTTCTTATAAAAAAATATTTATTTTTTACTTATTTAATCATCACCAGAGAATGTTTGTTTATTTATTTTGTTAATCTTCATTCGAGGATACTTTTTCCATTGATGTTTAGAGAGTGTGGAAGTGAGGGAGGGGGAGAGAGAGAGAGAAAAGTTTTTGTGGAAAACATTGAATCAGTTGCCTAGATGTCCCAACCCAAAAGTGAATCTGAAACCAATTATTTTGTTTTCTGGTGTACAGGAAGGGAGGAAGCTCTAACCAACTGAGTCACCCCGCCAGTGCTAAAATTTTTTTTTAATTTATTGATTTTTAGAGAAAGGGAGAGAGAGAAACATAGATTTGTTTTCATCGTTTGATTCTTGTATGTGCCCTGACCAGGGATTGGGAGGACTCTAACCACTCAGCTACCCCTCCCCACCCCGGAGAGGTGTTTTTTTTCTTTGTTCACTTTTTGTTCTGGTCGATGACGAAGGCCCCTGGGGCGACATTTCCCGGACTTGTGGGGCGCTCCCAGTTAGGCTCCGCCTTCATGGGCGCTCCCCTCCCCGCCCCCAAGTCCACACCAAGCACAGAGAGGCGGACACGCAGCTACTTCCTGAAACTTTAAGCAAACGTTTGTGGGGCCGGGCCCGCCGGCCCATCAGTCATCCATGTAGGTCGCGGTCGGGGCCAGATAGTCTGAGTGCCGGATGCCGAAGCTCCAGCCTTTTGGCTTCTGGTGCTGTGGACCCAGGAGACGTCGCTGACCTCGCAGAACCAGCGGAGCTACTCCGCGCGGAGACCCTGGCCCCCGGCACCCGACCCTCATTCCCCTGCCTCGAACCCTTGTCCCTGGATCCCAGATCACCTGGTCCACACTGTAGGCAGCGGGCCCGGGATTCAAGCTGCGGTCTTGGTGGAGCAAAGTCCGTGGCAGCATTGTGAACTGGGGAGCCCGCGACTTGTATATGCCAGGGTTCACCACGTGGTAGGCGCAGGGACCCGGGGTCTGCGGGAGGGCAGAGGGGGCTCTGGGTTTGGCCTCCATTCCCTGTTGTCCACTGACCCTCGTCCTTGGCTTCTTGACCCTCTCTGGTCCGCCCAGTTGACCCCTCGATACCCTGTGCTCGCAGCCCCTCCCCCACCTTGCTGAGGTCCTCTAAGAAGCTGCCCACTGTGCTGCGGCCGGTGATGGAGTAAGTTGGGGCCGAGACTTTACCAATGACGCGCGGGCCCAGGAGCGAGGGCACGGTGTAGGCCCCGGGGCCTGGAAAGCAGGCAGCAAGGAGCGGGATCTGAGGGTGAGTCTTTGTAGACCGGCCCGGGTCTCCCCGCCTCTGCGAGTGCCAGGTGGTCCCAGCGCCCCAAGAGCGGCTCCGGGCCAGGGTGCGGAGCTGGAACGGAACTTCGTGGTCTCACCTGGTATGTGCTGCTCGGTGTGCATGCCCCAATTTCGAGGGGCGATGGTGTGCCGAGGCGCACTGGGGTATGCTGCGTTCCCCGCTCGTTCTGGGGAGTACCTTCCTGTAGGGCGGACCGGGGGTGTGGGTGGAACCCCGCTGGAATTCTGGGATTATGGGGAAACTGAACTATGGTTTGTCAAAACCCGGTGGGGCTTAGAGTTCTTTGGAGGTCTGATATGGGGACATCGAATTTGTAGTGTTAGGGTACCCAAGGTTGGGCTCGGGCCTCGGGAGGTTTTCGGGTGGGCCTCCCTGGAGGCGGCTGGGCACTGGGGAGGCCAGGGTCCCGGGGGTCCTGACCAGGTCCGGGAGTGAGGCTGGGCGCCATAAGGCGCGGGCGGCCGTAGATGGAGTAGGCGGGGGTGCTGTCAGAGCCGCGCGCGGTCATGCGAGCTGGCACCAGGTAACCAGGTCCGGGGCTGCAGTCAGTCTGCTGCTTAGGGAGGCGCAGGCCGAAGGTGAAGGCAGGCGCGCGGGGCCGCGACGGGTCGTGCAGGATATAGCCTGCGGGCATCCCAGCATCATCCCAGGCCGGCAGTTTTCTCCCCAGGCACGGACCCCCTGTCCCCCAGGACAGACCTCCCGCTCTCTAGCCCGGGATAGTAGCTCCCCCCTCCCGGCATAGACTTCTCTAGCCCCTTCCTCCCCACTCGCACAGTAATGCGCCCTGCTGGTACCCGTGTTGGAGGGCAGCTTGTACTTGGGCCCCGGGCCTCTGTAGAACGCAGCGATGGGGCCGCGGGGCCGGTGCGGCCGCCAAGGACCCACCCAGATGTCGGAGCCCATGGCGTGGTGGTGCGCTTCCAGCCTGCTGAACCTGTGGATGGAAAGTGGCGGCCCCGGCCCCTCCTCCCCAGGCTTGCAGGGGATGCACTTCTCCACCCCTCCAGCCCAGCCCAGCCCACCGACTCCGGGGGCGGGTCCTGCCCGTATCCCAGGAGCCAGGAAAACAAATGAGTTTTCCCAGCTCTGCAAGGGGCTGCGCAGGGCAGGGGTCGATCTTTGAGGCCACTTCCCATCCCCTACTCCCAAACTGAGGGAGTTAAATAAGGGGGTGTGTGCCGGCTCCAAGTCTGGACTCAACACTGTGGGAAGGGAATCCCCCGGGTTCTGGGATATTTGGGGGGCATGGGGGTGAAGATACCGCCTCAGGGGAGCAGCGTTAGGGACCCGGTGCCCAGAGTGGGGGTCCGAAGTTGATGCACTAACCTGCTCCTGTGACTCCCAGCTGGGAAGGCAAGCGTTTTCCTTCCCGCCCGGCCCAGCTCCCAGACCCCATTGTGTCCGGGTCCTGCCTCCTGGCAACCGGACTGCCCGCCCCTGGCCCCGCCCCCTGCCCCTGGTACCGCCTCCCGGCTCCCACCCCGCTCCGCTCTGGCTCTCTGGAGCGCGGCGATGGCAGGCGCCCTGCAGACAGACTGGGCCGCAGACCAGAATGCCGGCCTCTCGCTTCCCCAGGCTTCCATACACTCATCCTAGAAATGGACAGATCTGTGGGCGAGAACAGGTACGAGAACAAAAACTTGAATAATACATATGGTACAGGCTCAGTCTATTGCTATGTGTAGAGAGAGAACTTTGCATCTATTTAAGTCCATGGAATATTTGCCGAAATTAATCATGTACTAGGCCACTCATTCACACACACACGCACACCCATACACGTTGAATAAAGAGATATTAGGACACATGATTTGATCGTAATCCAAAACAATTCTAAGCAAACAATAAAGTGTTTAAAAAAAAAACTTAAATAGTTAGAAATTAGCAAATTCTCTTATAAAAGAAACTCTGGATCAAAGAGCAACTCAAATATGGTTTTCAAATTATATATAAAACGGCAAAGGCAGATACTTTCATGTCCTGCTCTACAGGACATAGCTAAAGCTGTGTTTAGAAGAACACACAAAGCCTTAAGTGATTTCATTATTAATGAAGAAAAATTTTTTTAGTTTTATTTTTTTTATCCTCACCCGAGGATATTTTTCCATTTTTTTGTACAGATAGAGTGGGAGGGAGAGAGAGGAAGGGAGAGAGAGAGACAGAAACATCGACGTGAAGGGACACATCGAGTGGCTGCCACCCGCACGACCAACCAGGGCCGGGGACAAACTGCAACCGAAGTACGTGCCCTTGGCGGGAACCGGCATCTGAGATGAGCCATGGGACCAGAGTGCCTGTAACAAGGGAGAAACAGCACGAGTTCTCTCAATTCTGCGATGACCATCTAGAGTTTTTATTTGGGTTTCAATTTAAAATGGTGAAACACAGGACTTCTGGTCAAGATGGCAGGTAGGTAAATGCAGTATCGCATCCTCCCACAACCACATCAAAGTTACAACTAAACTACAGAAAAACCATCACTCAAAACCGCCTGAAATCTAGCTGAATGGAAGTCCTACAACTACGGAATTAAAGAAGCAGTAGCCACATCGAGCCCTGGCCGGTTTGGCTCAGCGGTTAGAGCGTTGGCCTGCAGTCCAGAGAGTCCCAGGTTCGGTTCCCGCTAAGGGCATGTAACTCGGTTGCAGTTTGTCCCTGGCCCTGGTTGGGTCGTGTGGGTGACAGCCACTTGATGTGTCCCTTTCACGTCGATGTTTCTCTTTCTCTCTCCCTCCCACTCTATCTGAACAAAAAACGAACAAATGTCCTCGGGTGAGGATAAAAAAAAAAAAGAAGCAACCACATCACGATTGGTAGGAGGGGTGGAGGCCGACGGGCTGGTCCCATACCCACGAGTGGCGGATAAATCAGGAGGACAGCCCTGGCCGGTTTGGCTCAGCGGTTAGAGCGTTGGCCTGCGGTCCTGAGAGACCCGGGTTCGGTTCCCGCTAGGGGCACGTACCTCGGTTGCAGTTTGTCCCCGGCCCTGGTCGGTTGTGCGGGTGGCAGCCACTCGATGTGTCCCTTTCACATCGATGTTTCTCTCTCTCTCTCTCTGTTCCTCTCTCTCCCTCCCACTCTACCTGAACAAAAAATGGAAAAATGTCCTCCGGTGAGGATAAAAAAAAAAAAAAAAAAAAAATTAAATCAGGAGGACACCTCGGCTGGGAAGGTCCTCCCTGAGGACTGAGGGGGGGGTCCCCGTTTCACACCAGGCGCCCCGCTCAGGGTTCCAGTGCCAGGAAGAGAATCCCCATCACTTCTGGCTGGAAAAACCAGCAGGAACTGAGGCTCAGGGAGGCTGAGGCAGCTGGAGCCCCAGGCAGCTCCTTAAAGGGCCCGCGCACGGACTTATCGGACTCAGTCCCTCTAAGCTCAGAGGGGAAGCAGCTCGAGGGGTGCCACAGACATACAGGGAAGAACTGAGCTGTTTGGCACTGGAGCGAGGGCTGGAGAGGGGGCTTTCTCCGGGACAAACATGCTGTCGGAGGCCTTTGTTCCTTTGGTGAGCCCTTCCCCGGGGCAGCAGACAGCCCCCATATCTGGGACCCCAGCAACCTGGCTCACACTGGTAGCCCCGCCCTGGTGATTCCCTGAGGCCCTGCCCCACCCAACTTTCAGGCCCACCCAAGCTGTTGCCAGTTGTTTAACTATAGGATTGGCCTGTCTTGGATCCTGCTTCAGGTTTTCCTAAATTCTTTCAAACAAGCAGCATCTGGCCACAGAGAGGCAGCCAAAATGAGGAGGCAAAGAAACAGGTCCCAAATGAAAGAACAGAACAAAAACCCAGGGAAAGAACTAAGTGAAATGGAGATAAGCAACCTAACAAATGCTGAGTTCAAAATGCTGCTTATTAAGGATATCCAAAAATATGAGTATAGTGTAAGGAGCCTCTGGGACAACTTCAAGCATGCCAACATTTGCATCTTGGGGGTGCCAGAAGGAGAAGAGAGAGAACAAGAAATCAAAAACCTATTTGAAACAATAATGGCAGAAAAACTTCCCTAACTTGGTGAAGGAAAGAGACATACAAGTCCAGGAAGCACAGAGCGTCCCAAACAAGATGAACCCCAAGAGGCCCACACCAAGACACATCATCAAAATGCAAAAGGTTCAAGACAAAGAGAGAATCTTAAAAGCAGTTAGTTACCTACAAGGGAGTTCCCATTAGACTGTCAGCTGATTTCTCAAAAGAAACTTTGCAGCCCGAAAGGGAGTGGCAAGAAATACTCAGAGTGATGAAAAGCAAGAACCTACAACTAACATTACTGTATCCTACAAAGCTGTCATTTAGAATCGATGGCCATATAAAGAGTTCCCCAGACAAGAAAAAGGAGTTCATCACCACCAAACCGTTATTATATGAAATGATGAAGGGTCTTTTTGATGAAAAAGATAAAATATATGAACAAACAAAATGGCAGTGAATACATATCTATTGACAACTGAATCTACAAACAAAGTGAACAGGCAAAACAGAAACATTCTCATAGATACAGAGAACATTTTGTCGGTTGCCAGATGGGAGGGAGTTGGGGGAATGGGTGAAAACGGTGAAGGGATTAAAAAGTACAGATTGGTTGCTAGAATGACAAACCTCAAAGGGAAGGGGGTTGGGGGGTGGGAAGAAATAAACCAAAGAACTTATATGCATAACCAATGGACACAGTCAACAGTGTGGGAAAAGGCGGGAGGGGGGCGGGAGTGGGGAGGAGGGGGTCAATGGGGGAAAAATGAGGAACATCTGTAATACATTCAACAATAAAGGTAAGAAAAACAAAACAAAAAATAAAACAGTGAAACAGCAAGGCGTAAAATTTTTGTTTGGTGCAACTTTATTTCATGTATGAAATATTTTACTGAATTTGATTATTTTTTATTTTTTTAAATCCTCACCTGAGGATATTTTTTTATTTATCATCAGAGTGGGAGAGAGGGAGAGAAACATCGGTGTGGGAGAGACCCCGGGACTCTGGTCTGCGGGCCGATGCTCCGACTGCTGAGTCAAACTGGCCAGGGCTGAATTTGATTGTTTTAGAATCACTTGTGCAGGTGGGGTGGCCTCCCCGTCTGAGCAGAGTGGTGTTGGAGTGTGCAGGGATTCAGAGAGCACGCAGGTGCCCAGTATGAGGAAAAGATGAAAACCAGCAGCTACACCAGAACCAGACCCCATGATGGGACAAAAGAGGAAACATTTGGAGCAATGAGTCTCTTTTACTCACACACTCTAGTGAAGATTAAACTTTCCATAGAACCTGGATGCTGAGGGCGAGGAAAAACTGTGAACTTCTCGTGAGGATGGGAGGAAGGGTGAGGGAAGGAGGGAGTGGAGTGTTCCAGAGGTTTGTCTTGGGAGAGACGTCACACATCTCGGTTATGACCAGTGGTAGAGCCGTAAGTGTCAACTCGCAGCGGTTCTCAACCGTGGGTCACAACTCCTTTGGGGGTTGAATGACCCTTTCACAGGGGTTGCCTAAGACATAACAGTAGCAAAATTACAGTCATGAAGTAGCAACAAAAATAATGTCGTGGTTGGGGGTCCCCACAACACGAGGAGCTGTATGGAAGGGTCGCGGCGTCAGGGAGGTTGAGAAGCACGAGACCTGGGAAAGGAAAGCCAGCAGCAGAACAGAAGAGGTCGGGAGAGTTTTTCCAAATTAAAAATCCAGAAAACAGAATGGCAACAATAAACAAAACCCCCAGACCCACCCCCTAAATGGAGGTTGGGGAAGAGGAAAATTAGAAACAAAGTACAATTTAAAGGTGTGTCTTAGGACAGTGCAGGAAGGGAAGGAAGAAAGGGTTGCTCACGGGTCACATACGATCGCCTTTCTGTGACCTGTCTGTGGAGATCTGTGTTTTTCAAGTTATTTGAAATAGGTGTAAAGAAGACGATTTTGTCC